CGGACTGAGGTAGTCATCACTCAGGGGAAACTCACAATACTCACTAGAGGCCCTGACGTTGCCACCGCTGCTCTGAGGCCTTGACCGACATAGTCAGGCCTCTCTGCATAGTCCCCTCCTCTCCTCTCCATTCGAAATTGCCCTACCACTGGCCCAAGTGGCTGGCTGGTCACCTGAATGGACGCCACCATATCCGGAGCTCAGTGTTGGTCCCTGTTGTTGGCCGGTCGTGCGTTCAGTGGCAGTTAACTAGATCCGCCTCAGTGTCCCTGATCCTTAAGTCTTATTTCTTCCAGGTCCCTGACTAAGCTATTAAGTCACTTGCCTCAGCCCATGAGAATAAATATTCGGTCATTTTTCTCTTTTCTCAAAGTGGATGACCAAGTACGTAGCCTGCAGCTCATCCAAGGCCTTTGGAAGGGATTTCCTTCATTGGATTTCCTCTCATTGCTCTTCCAAGGGCACCCCTGAGCGGGGCTGTCATGGGCTCCGGTTTTTCTCTCCCCCATCAGCGGGTCTCGGGGAATGCCCCTATGACCAGAGGTGTGAACTGAGGGAGAAGTGTTGGTGCACCATGAGGAGGTGACACAGGTGACATGAGGGGTCTGGCTCATGCAGCTTACTTGTGCCCGCTGCGTCCTTGTAAGCCCCAACTAGACATACTGCTTCTATCCTTCTATCTGATGATGGATGGCTGTTGGTCCTGCCTGACTCTATGACTTGGTAGATAACGTGCTGAGGGCATGGTCAGTTCTGGTCTCCCAGTCACGTGATGCCTCTTCTCTACCAGGGCTCAGGAACATGCCAGGAGTTGTTCTTCTAATAGTATACAGATGGGGCCGAAGATGGCATGGCCTTGACCCTGAAATCTAGCGATCTTCTCTGTGACTCCCTTATTGGGGTTTGTCGGAAACTCCGCGCCGTATCTTTATCCCTCGCAGACACTTCTGGGACCGTGAAGCCTGCCGATCACATGGCTCCAGCAGTAGCGCAGCTGGAACTGCAGCTGGAACCGTGGCAGAGCCTGTTAGTGCTCCAGATCCCGCGCAAAGCTGGCACAAAGTAGATGCTCAATAAATTCCCGGCTGTGGGGGAATGAAGTACAGGACAGGAGTTAGAAATGCCTGTAGGGTATTTGTAGGACATGTGCCTGTAGGGTAAGGTTGCCAGAAAAAATACAGGAAGCCATTTAATTATGTTGGCCAGAAAAAAATACAAGTTTATTTAAATTTGAATTTTAGATGAATACTTTTTTAGTTTAAGTACATTTCTTGCAATATCTGGGATATGCTTATAAAAATTATTCATTGTTTATCTGAAATTCAAACTTAACTAGGTGTCTAGTGTTTTTTGTTTTTTTTTTTTGTTTTTTTTTTTTTTAAAGATTTTATTTATTTATTTGAGAGAGAGAGAATGAGAGATAGAGAGCACGAGAGGGAAGAGGGTCAGAGGGAGAAGCAGATTCCCCGCTGAGCAGGGAGCCCGATGTGGGACTCGATCCCGGGACTCCAGGATCATGACCTGAGCCGAAGGCAGTCGCCCAACCAACCGAGCCACCCAGGCGCCCGTGTTTTTTGTTTTTTGTTTTAAGAATTTAATTATTTATTTGGCAGAGAGAGAGCAGGAGAGCACAAGCAGTGGGAGTGGCAGAGGGAGAGGGAGAGGGAGAAGCAGGCCCCCTGTTGAGCAGGGAGCCCGACTCAGGGCTCCATCCCAGGACCCTGGGATCACAACCCGAGCTGAAGGCAGTCCAACCAACTGAGCCACCCAGGCGCCCCATATTGGTAAATCTGGCAACCCTACTTTAGGGACCACACATTTAATAGCATAGGACGGTTTGGTGTGACAGGGTTCGGGGAAATGGTGAATGCATTTACAGTCACACTCAGTTGGAGAGAAATCAGCATTTAAAGTAATTTAAAGTAAAAATGAAAAACAGTGTACCAGATTTGGCTGGAGGCTCGTGAATTTGGAACCCCTGGCAAAGGGGTTGGGCTCTAGAGTTCGACTGCTGGGATTAGAATCTTGGATCCACTGCTCACAAGCTCTATGATCTTGAGCCTTAGAGGTTCCATCTATGTAAGGATTAAATAAAATGTTGCATTGAAGGGGTTTAGCAAGGTGCTGAGTAAATGTTAATCTTCAAGATGACCGCTGGGTTGCTTTGCAGCAGCGCCTCCTAGTGGTCACAGGACATGTGTGCGAGGGCTGGTGCAAGGCTAGGATCCTGGGGCCTTCAGGTGATCCAGCAGCTAGGTTAGTCAGGCGCTGCAGGACGGGTCCCCAAGCTCCCTAGATTCCAGTCATTCACATTTCACCTCCACAACTTCTGCCACATATGAGCCACCATTACCTCTGTTTATTTAATGTTCCCCTTTAAATTGTCTCCCTACAAATTCTTTGATGCTCCCTTTAAGAGGGGGGGCTACTTCTCCCCAAGGGCGAATTTATCTAGAGAAGAGACAGAGCCTACAGAGCTAGACAGCCTGGGTTTGAATCCTGGCTCCAGGCTTACCAGCTGTGTGTCCTTGGGCAAGTGACTCCATCTCTGTGTCTCAGGCTTGGCATCTGTGAAGTTCAGCAATAACAACACAACCCTCCAGGGCTATTGGATTAACGAAATTAATCTACAATGAACGCTTAGAGCAGAGCCTGGCACAGAGTTGGGACTCAATACAAGCCCCCTGTTGTTCCTCCTGCCTCTCCTTGCAATGCCTGTGGGGGCCGTGGGATCGTGTGGGGGAGCGGAGTGGGCTGTGGGAGGAGGAGGTAGATGGGGAATGAGCGACCGCTCCTCTGATCTCCCGTCTGTGGGTCTGGCTGCCTTGCTCCTGCCCCAGCCCCACCTGTCCCCAGCTGGTGGCTTCAGGGATTGTGTTCAACTTCTCTGTGCCTCTGCAAAGGGAGGCCAGTCGTGACAGTACCTCCCTCACAGGGCTGTGTGGAGGATTAAAGAAGCGATTACAAGTCGAGCTGCAGTGGCAGAGGATATGAGCCAGAACTTCACCCTGAGCCTTCCTGAATTTCTGACCCACAGAAACCATGGAACATCATGAAATGAGTATTGCTATTTAAGCCACTTAATCTTGGGGTGGTATGTGACACAGAAATAGTAGCTAGAACATGAACATGAGGGGACGGCTTCAGACTATATTTTTGACAGAGAGCAGGGACAGGACTGAACGTGTGCCATTGTCCATCCCGAGGGAGTGCAGATGGCCTCCTAAGTGGTTATCTGATGAGGATGGAGAAGAACACATTTTCCAGATAAATAACTACATACAGAGCATCAGAGGCTGCATTCAACTGTTCTAGTAAAGCTGCTATGACCAGGAGGGTACTTGGCTTAGTTACTGGTAGTCCACCGTCATCTGCCATAAGCCACCTGGTTTGGCAGACTGGAGAGTTGAGATGGATGGAGGAAGCTTACTCTCCTTTGTCTTTCCTCCGGAATGAAACTAGAACCCTGGACACAGCGAATGAGGTGGCTCTCTGAGGAGTCTGAAAACTAAATGGTGGCAGGTGGACCGAGAAGGAAAGTCATCACTGAAAGAATGAGTGATCCACAGGTGAGTTTCCTGGGTTTTTATCCCTCCCATGTCTTTCATCCTGGACTCAAAAGCAGTGGATTTAAGCAGGATCCAGAGTCTCATAACATAGTGTTAAAAGCGTGTGGAGCAACAACACATTGGAGATGGATCCAATCTGAGTAAGAGCTGAAAGAAATGAACAGAGCCTCAGGGACCAGTGGGACTATAATAGGAGATCTACATTCATGCCATGAGAGTCTCAGAGAGAAAGAAGAATGGTGTGGGGAGTAAAATTTGAAGAAATAATTGTTGACAACTTTCAATGAAGTCTCACTTTCCAGATGGTGGTATGGGGAGCCCTGGGGGCCCATCCTCCAGGGAAACAAACATAACTGGTGAAAACTATAAAAAACCCAGACTTTCCATCTCAGCACCAACATGTAAAGAGCTTGGAGGTTGTCACTCCTATCCTCACAACAAGAAAAGGGCTCAACATGGACAATCAGCAACTGTCTTAGGCCTGTCGGAGGATCGAGGTTGTAGGGCAAACTACCTTCCGCAGGTCTGGAGAGATAGGTGAACACATAGAATTACAGCCAAGATCAGCTTACCGGAGGCAGAGGCTGCTGGGTAGGAACACATAAAGTGTAATTACGACAAATTGCCGAAGCCTGAGTGTAGACTAACTCCCAGTCTTAAGCTCTGTCTATCATTTTGACAGATGTCCTCGGAGAAGAAGCTGTTTATACCAGGTGAACTCTGAGTCAAGTCAAGACAGCCTCGAGAGTAGGATCTTCCAGGAAACTTAACAAGGCAGATCAAATAATGACAGTATTCAGGGAACGAGGCTTTGAAGTTGTTCCAGTACTCTTCTGCCTGTCTCCAGATGCTTCCAGGCTACTGATTTTCACCATGACTGTGTGGGCTTTGGGTTTTCAAGTCTTCTGTGGAGAGTGGGGGATGGGACTAGGGTAAACTAAAACACCACAAAGCTGTCTGTTCTTACCAAGATTCAATTTTTACTGAATTTTTATTCAGTTTTATTGAATAAACACACCCCAGATTGCTGCAAACCTTTGGTGAATTTCCAAGAGTTCTGAAAAAGCTGGTTCTAACAGTTCGGGGGCGGGGGCAGTTTTCTCATTGTTTTTCTGTAGGAGAGAATTTTCAGAGGTCTTTCATCTGCCATTGTCACTGACATCCTTCTAGAGAGTTTTTAAAATGTGAAAATGTTGTCACCGTTTAAAAGCCATGAATGTGTTCTGATTGACCTGGCTGCCTGTCCGACTATTTTGTATTTAGATTAATTAGTTAGGAACTGAGGTTGTTAGCAGAGGGGAAGACCCATCTGTGGGCCATAGGAAGAAGTCCAGGGGAGCAGTGGGAAAATGGTACTCAGAGACAGGCAGTGGATGTGTGTCCAGGAAGGAATGCAGTTTGGTGCCACGGTCAGAGGGTGGCAGGATCAGGGCTGATGATACGAGGCATGTGTGCCCTGTCCCTATTCAGCTTGATTCTTGGGACCTCAGCCAAGGGCGCCACACAGTATTGACCTAATGCCTGGACTCTCTTCAAAACCAGTCATGCCCTAATTGTTGTTTTCCAGTCTGGAAGGCCCTTCTGTGCTTCAGGTCGCCGACTAGGTAGACAGACATTCACAATGATCATTCAGCTGCTTATGAAATGTAACTATTCATCCCGAGCCCAAAGATATTCCACTTCTATGAACGTGGAAGGTGCTTCCTTCTGTCCCCGCACCAGAACACAGGAGCTGGTTTCCTACAAGAAACCCCATAGTTCTGAACTGTGGGACTGTCTTCCCACAATGCCAGGTTGGCTGGTGACCACAGTAGGTGGGGAGGGTGGTAGGTCTGGACAGGATGAGAGATGTTTGATAGGGGTTGAGAAACACCAACCTAAATCTGCTCATTCTCACAAGGTCAGTGGGGTCTCCCAGAGCACAAGGGACAAGGCTTTCTGTGACGTCTGGGATGTTTCAGTCCTTGATTTGTCTTTTTGTCATACTATAACTTGTGCAAGTCATTCACATATATATCCCAAGGCCTTGGTACCCTCATTTGTGGAGTGTAACAGTTGGGCTGGTCCTCTAAGGGTCTCAAACAATGATGGCATATTTAGTTTTTATTCAAGGGGACAACCTCCCCCAGCTTTGGGTAGCCCTGTTCTTTATTCTTGTCTCCAATTTTTCATAAATTTTATTTGCATTCAGTCTCAACTTCCTTTCATCCCTTCCTCTTCCTAAAAATCAGGCATCTTCCTCCAAAAATAGGACACTCATCCATGGCATCAATAACCTTATATGCTTCTCCATTGACCCTTCTCTATGTCTACGAGCAATGAACACCTTGCACCCGTTTGTCCTTCCTTCTACACTTCCTGTTTGTCATCTTTCTCATCCTCTTGCTGAGAAAACAGAAGTCAGTTTGAGTGGATGCCAGTGAGCAAAAGAGGAGTGGCAGGTGACCCGTGTATTCATCCGATTCCTGGATGTCTCCCCCTGGGTCTCCCAGGTACTTCCATGCAGCATGGCCACAGCTGAAGGCATCATCTTCCTGCTGGAATCAGCTCATCCTCCCACATCCCCAGTTACCTTCAGGCTCCCCCACCTGTGACATGGACAGCAACCTGCACCTCACCTATGCCCAGGTCCACTCCTGAACATCTCTCAGATCTGCCATTTCACTTCTTGTGTGGTGGACTTGCATATCATCATCTGCCTAGAGGGTTACATCTACCCCCAAGCCCTTGTCCACCCCTCCTAGGGACCCCAGAGCAGTCACTCGGAAATGCCCACTCATCTGAACATCTCCCTGTCCAGCTTAAGACCATCAGGTTCTACAGTGTAAGGTCAGAACTCGATTCTCTGGCTCCAACCACCCAGGCCAAGGCTCTTTCCGATTATTAGCCCTTGAATGAGGGTGAAGGATGACAAGGGCCCTGTGCAGAGAAAGAGCAACTTTATTTGGTGAGGAACATGGACTGTAACACATGCCTGGTGGGTGAAGGGGGAGAGCAGTTTCCTTGGAGGGAAGGCTGCTCTGGTCCCCAAATAGTGGCCGTGTCACTGTCCAGGACATGGGTCCACCTTCCGGGCAGAGAGTGGATTGAGCAGCAGGAAATGGTTCTGTTGGGAGAAGCCCCCGATCAGAATGGAGACTTGAGGTCACTGACTCTTGTTGGTATTGGCCCATCATCAAACCTGCCCTCCAGGGGCAGGGAGGGGGCTGAGACCTCAGGCTGGGGATCTTGTCTCTGCCCCAAGGGGAGCCCAGGCCCGGGGCCAGGGGGTTCTTTGTGCATATGTTTGAGTGAGTGTGTGTCTTTGTATCCACATGTCTGTGTGTGTGTGTGTCCGTGTGTCCGTGTGTGTGTGTCTGTCCGTGTGAGTGTGTGTCCGTGTGAGAGTGTGTCCGTGTGTGTGTGTCCGTCCGTGTGAGTGTGTGTCCGTGTGTGTGTGTGTGTGTGTCCGCGTGTGTGTATGTTCCCTCTGTAGCCGTGTGGTGGTGCTGCCTGTGTATGTCCACCTCTGTCAGCATCCCTGTAGACTGCTCCGTGCGTCTCTGCCGCTGTGTGACTGTTTACCTCCCTCTGTCCCGAGCCCTCTGTGGCCCCCTGCTAGGAGAAGAGCCGAAGCACCCAAATCCTGGGGATTGGGGAACAGTACTCACCAGTTCAACAGAGGCTGGGTCCCTTTCCTGGAAGGCTTAGACCTTGATGACAAATTCCAGCCCATGGATCAGTAAGTCTGGAAGATGCAGACCAGAATGATGATCTCAGTGTGCAGGAGTTGAGGGGTGTCCCACACTCCCCCTGAGGCTGGGGGCTGGGGCACGGGAACTCTGGTGATCCAACTAAGCTCAGGTGAAGCTTGGCAGGAGCAGGACCTCCCTCTACCAATCAGCTCAGCTGTTCTCAGTGTCGGGGCTGATGGGGAGGGGTGGGTAGGCAGGGCCCAGCCCTCAACATTATCTGGATAATTCAAGGCAAAAAAGAAACCCGAAATGGGGAGAGCTGAGGCTGGAAGGATCTAGCTCTCTCCTATGGTATGCAGGGACAGAGCTCCTTGGGGGAAATCACTGCTTCTGAAGAGGGAGAGAGGCCTTGGGAGGGGGGACTTACCAGCAATGGAATCCACCAAGGTGATGTCCAACTGGCTGAGAACGTCATTGACCAGAGGGCACACCTGAGCCAGGGGCAGAGAGAGGCACTGAGCAAAGCAGCACTTGGAGGGTGGCCCTGGGAGCAGCAGCAACCCCCAGAAGGATTCTCTGGGGGAGATTTTCTGTCATTCTTCTGTGTCTGAGAGTGTTTGGTTCTAAGTGGTATCACAGATGGATGCTTACACAGTGACATGGGCAGATGGAGAAATGGAAGGCATGTATGTGAAGTGCCCAGTCACACACCGAGCCAGTGTTCCCTGTGGGATGTGACACCTGTTTCTTTTTTTTTTTTTTTAAAGATTTTATTTATTTTTTGGCAGAGAGAGACAACGAGAGAGGGAACACAAGCAGGGGGAGTGGGGGAGGGAGAAGCAGGCTTCCCACAGAGCAGGGAGCCCGATGCGGGGCTCGATTCCAGGACCCTGGGACCATGACCTGAGCCGAAGGCAGACACCTAACGACTGAGCCACCCAGGCGCCCCTGGGATGTGACACCTGTTTCTAAATAGGGTGAGCTGAGGGGTGAGTTTCTGGGTGTAGGAGGCACCCAGGCATAGGCTAGAAGAGCGCCTGTCAACAGCCATAGTGGGGGGTGGACTGGGAGCTTCTTGGGGCTGGGTCCAGTCCGTTTCAGCTGTAGTGTGGACGTGCACAGGGCCTGGCCCAGGGCAGGACCCAATCAATGCATTTTGAAGGATGGAAAGAAGAAACATGGATAGATGAATCAGTGGACAGATAGACTGGTAGATGGAATATACGTATCAAACTGAGGAGTTCAGAAAAGCTTACTCCAGGGGCTTCTTTCAGCCTGAGAAGCTCTAAGACCCAAGGATCAGGAGCTGCCACGTTTACCCACTTACCTTGCCCTGTATCAGCTCAGGAAGGACTTCGGTCAAGATGCTGGTGAGACTGTTGACAAGGCTTTGAACAGGGAGGGGAGCAAATCTGAAAGAGAACATCCAGGGGGCAGTGCAGAGGCCTGGGGTTGGTATGGAAAAGCCTTTAGAGGGGCCACTGTGCCCACATCAGTCTCAGTACTAAATGACTGAAATGGGGCCTTGTCCACCCCCACCCTCATGCAGGCAAACACCAGGGGGCCTGTCCGAAGGGAGTGGCGCCCTACACAGTAGTGCACACTGTGGGCATGTGTAGAATAAACATTTAGTTCCAATATACAGTAGGTATTCAGTGAGACTTTGTAGAATCTGTAAGTGGATGAACAATGCTTAGTATGTAGTTGTCATGAGGACTCGAGATGATACATGGGAAACACATTATATGTATTGAGTAAACGTTAAACATGATGGGACGACTCCAGCATATTATGCGTGACTCACTGTCCCTTGTGACAGGTAACCGAAATAAGGAATCCAGGTAGGCTGCAGAGCTATTTTACCCCATACTGGGACAAAGCACTTTCACACCTATTATCTTAGTGGATTCACTCAAGAATGCAATGTATCTCCGTAATACAGTAATCTGAGTAAGCTGAGACGCTAGCTGGGGAAGCACTGTCCGAGTTCACACAAGAACTGCTCCACCTTTCCACGTGCCCCTCTGGTCAGTGGGCTTGAACTCAGATTTTTTATGGCCTTCGAGCATAAAACTGGTCAGCCCAACCTAAGAAGAGGTAAGTGGCTATTTACCCACCCACCCATCCATCCATCTTCCCTCCCTCCCGTTCACCTTTGCACCCTTCTACCCTCCCATTGTTCCGTCTTCCCAGTCACCCATCCTTCATCCCCTTAGTACCGTTTCTGGGCAGGAGAAGCCACCCCTCTGGCCTCACCCATTAAGCAGGGAGATTTGCAGGCTCCCAGGGGAGTGAGTGCAGTCACCAAGAACCAGGTGAGTCTTCCCCTGTTCGTTTTTCACAGATAGAATTTCTGCAGTGATGTTTAGCTTCACAGCCACCTTTAACAGACGTCCGGCCAGGGGCCTGCAGAGGAAAGTTTGCTGCATCTGCATCTGAGCTGAAGGCTCATGTCTGTCAGACTCCAGCACCCCCCTTCTGGCTACGCACGGTCCTCAGGGTGTCCTTTGGTGAGCCAACCCCCACCCCGCCGTGGGGCCCACTCACATATTCACATTGAGGGTTATGCCCAGAGGGATGGCAACATAGAGACGATGACCTTCGGGGCTCTGCACAAGGCCCAGTTCCAGCAGCTGGGGATTAGTGATCTTGATACTGCCCATGGAGCAACATTGGAGGGAGGAATATTAGTTCTTTCAGCCCCAGACCTAGAGACCACCTTTAACCCAATCCGACTCATCCCAGAGGAGGAGCTACCCATGCGGTGGGAAGGGGGAGACAGGAGGGGCATCTTGTGGCAACACGCGTCAGTGTTTCCCAACCTCTGCGCTGGGTCAGATCCTGATACACCCCGGCCCTCTCCTCATCTCAAGTCCCGGAGGTATGCCAGGGTGGAGGCTGTGTCTGGCTTCTATTTACACGCTGCATGCCAGCTCAGAGTCTTACAAAGAAGGGGCCTACTCCATACTGGTTGACTTTGTGGCGGGATGAGTGGGTAGGCAGATGCATGGGAGAGTCACTGGTTAGGTGGAAGAGAGGATGGACACACGGAGCGATGAACGAGTGGATGAGCGGATGAGGTATGGGCAAGTGGAGTGAGTCCCTCCCAAACATTTATGGGTAGGGACCACTTATCCTGCTATAACCTTCAGTGGCAGGTCAGTCAACAATGGTTACCATGGAGATCGAGGAGCAGGAAGTAGGAGAGAATGGAGAGAGGATGGAAGCGAGCCTCTTCCGTGAGCCGACCTCACAACCACTGTGCCAGGTGATTGCATTGCTTCCAGTCCTCCCAACAGTTTTTCTCTGTGAGCACCATGACCTCCATTTTACAGATGGAGAAACCAAGCCCGGAGAGATTGAGTGCCCTGTGCCTGTCACCCAGCAGGCACGCGGTGCATTTGGAAATCAAAGTCAAGGCTATCTGTCTGTCTTCAAGTCAGGGGCAAGCACCTGGGTGGGTAGGAGCCTTGGAAATGGCTTTGATCCAGCCCTGTCAAGGACCCAGGCTTTGCCAGCTCCCTGGCATCAAGCTTCCCATTATTGCTACTTGCTTAGAGAGCTCTCAGGTGTCTCATGGGACATCCCACATCAGACCCTTCACTGGCCATTACATTGAGGATGTCATTCAGGAGAGTAGCTTGCACTTTCTCGCTTACATCAGAGGCCACCTGTGCTCTCCACAGGTGAGGAGAACAGAATTACCATGGTGCGGTGGAAAAGCCTTGGCTTTGGACTTAAGTAAATTAGAGTTCGGTCCCTGGCTCTGCATCACTCTAGTTGTGTGAGCACAGACACCTTTCTGTGCTTCAGTTTTGCCATCTGTAAATTGGAGATTATTAATTACACCTTAAAGCGTTGTCAGGATTATAGATGATGCCGGGGCCTCAAGATATGCTTCAGGACTGGGGGCAATCACTGGTTCACGAGGACTGGTGTTCCTTGCCAGGCTGTGGGAAGGGTCTCACACTGAGTCCTGGCCTCACGTTCAGACCACCCCTCTCCCTCCTCTAGGGCCACTGTGTGGGGCCCCCAGATCTCCATCAGAGGTTCTCCAGTGGGGGTGGGTACCAAGGCCTCTGACTACTCACTCAATGATATTGTTCGGGAGAGGGACCACTGAAGTCAATTTGCCAAGCAGGCCCCCAAGCAGGCCACCAGACGTGCCTCCTCCAGTGTTCAGGATGTCCAAGAGTGGAAGGTTTTCGAGAATGCCCAACAGACCCTCAGAGAGCAGGCCATTGCTGAGGGCTAAAAATGGGTATAAGGGTGGATCCTTGGGGGTCAGATCTGATAATTCCAGATCCTCAGCCCCTCTCCCAGTCATCCCTGTCTCCCTCCCCACACTGAACGGTTGGGTGGACACACAGAGACACACACACACACATACCTGAAAGAGGTTGTTACACACTCTCACTTACCATCCGTTAAGCTTCCAGCAAGATCCGTGGGGCTTAGGTCCTGGACTGGAGTCCCCTGCAAAAGCGGGGTCTGGTCCAGGGGCAAGGCGTCCAGCAGGGCTGTGGTCCGGGCCAGCAGCCCACAGAAGACAATGAGGCCCCCGATTTGAAACATCTTCTCTCTTGGTATCTGTGGACAGAGTCGTGGGTAGCATGGCTATCAGAGAGGAATTCATCTACCATCTGTCTGCCCCCGACCTCCAGAACTCCGGGAAGGGAATAACAATAGCTAAAGCTACTCAGCATTTCCCCTGGGCCAGGCATCAGGCTGAGCACTCCAGGCCCAGTAACTGATTTCATCATAACCGCCCCCTACGATGTGGGCACTCATCACCCGCATTGCACAGGTGAGGCAAGGGCAGTCTAGTGAGTTTAGGTGAATTTCCCCAAGATGGTAAGCACACAGTAGGGATAGGATTTGAAGCCAGATCTGTCTGACCCAGAGGCATCTGTTTAATTAAGTCACCATCACATTTACTCTCCATTCATCTGGGCTTGCTTGCAACGACCTGAATCATTGCCCCAAGTTTTCACTCTTCAGACAAAGCAAATGAAAAGGCTGAGGGACTGAACTGTTTTGCCACTATCCCCATTAAGTCTTTTGGCCTGGGTCTAGCCTGTGATGGTTTGTGGAAGCCCTTTTAAATCACAGATTTGATTAGAGGTCAGATGGCCATAGCCACCATCTCATCCAGACCAATGCTGGAGAAATCCTGGGGCCATTCAAAGTCCTTATTGCATAAGAAGAATCGGGGCCAGAGAGGGGTAGTGACTTTCCCAAGGTCACAGAGCAACTTGATGGCAGAGTTGTGGTTGGAGATAGGTCTCTGACCCCTCCAGGCATACACACTGTCTTTTCTATACCTTTCTCTTCTTCCTTAAGCTAACCTGAACAAAATTTGGGGGCCAACCTCTGACATCCGGCTACCTTTTGCACTGTTCCCTCCCAGGTATCACCAACCCTCTCCTAGGTCTATTTGGTAGCGAGCAAAGGTGCTGAAAGCTGCTTTGGGCAGAATTCCATCAGCTGGCTGATTCAGCCAAAGCCCCACTGTCACTGCTATGGCTGGCTGGAATTGAAAGGGCTTTTTGGTACAAAGAGCCCGTTGTGGTCTCTCTGGGGAGGTACACTTAGATTGCGTTCTCTGAATCTCTTTTGGACAACAGACCTTGTATGAGTGCAATGGAAGCTGAGGACCCTTGTCCCAGAAAAATGCATCAAAAATGTACAAAACGGGGTGGGTTTTAGGAGGTTTGTGGATAATGGTCTCAATCCACAATGGTAACCTCAAGTTAAAACTCCCACCGTAGAGATTTGGATTTAGGGTAAGAAGAGCATGCTCATGAGGGAACCCTAACATGGGATTTCTGCAGCGTGCACCTGCAGCCTCATGCTCCCCATCCTCATCAAATCCCCTTTTCTGCGTTTCCACATTCAAACCTGACATCCATGGCACCCGGTCTCTCAGGGAAGCAGAGTGAATGGCCGTTCCCCCTCCCCCCGAAAATCCCTCTGAAAAAGACCCCTGATGAGCGATCCTAAATGCAGCCAGCCAGTGCCCACCCCACAGCAAGGAGCTCGGCAGCCCTACCACCCAGGGCGGCAGAGCGGGTGTGGGACAGGCAGGTCTCACCTGGGCTTCTCAGAGGTCCTGGTGGCTCTCCTGTTCGCCTCTTCCCTCTTCTGCTTGCTTCTGCGGAGGGGCTAGCATCTTTTATAGTGTGCAGATCAGGAAATGTGTGATCGGGTGATGGGTTTCTAGATAATTCAGAATTCTGTGGTCTGGTAGTGTCTTTCAAGGCTCTCCAAAGTAAATAATTGCCAATCACATTAGTAGGTAGGACAGTTAAGCCACTTGATGGACAAGTTAAACAGAGAAAAACTTGAGATGGGGATGTTACTCAAGACTTCATGGTTTTCCTGAGCAGGCCCAAGGCCGGGGGCCCATGCTCCGAGGCGGCCGGGCAGATCACGTTCGGAATGTGGGTCGAGGTGGCCTGTGGGAGCCCGGAAATGGGCTTCAGTCTCGTATTGAGGCTCTTTACCATTCCTGGTCCAATTCTTTTTCTCCATTTGGAGGATTCTTGCTCCCAAAGTGTCAGAAGATTCAAACTGCCTCTGACTTTCCTACATCGGGTGTCTCTTGCAGGACAGTTGTGTGCAGGGGGCTGTCCATCCTCATCAGAACCCTGGGAGGAAGGGCATGCTGCTCTCCCCCTTTGCAGAGCAGGACACGGAGCACAGCGGGGCAAGTGCCCAAAGACACAGGATGGGGTAGAGTCAGAACTTCTTGCATCGGACGATCATAGTGAAACATTGTCGACGGCCAACACTTGCCGAGCCCTTGCCGAATGCCAGCCTGGCTTTGTTTGCCACAGACGGCATCCCCACGAATCCTCCCAGGGGTGTGGGCTGGGAACGAGTACCCCTCTTTTACAAGGGGAAAACCGAGGCTTGTGGTGCAAGTAGACATGTCCAGGTGCGCACAGCGGGCCTGGGGCCAAAGCCTTCACACTGCCTGCAGTCTGTTCTCCGAATCACTGTGCCAGGACATGAAGACACCTTCTGTACACTCATTGCCCATTTTGCTTTCTTGCATGTCGTGATCCCATGAAATTTCACATTTATACCCTGGAAAAGTCTTTCCAGGTTGCCAGGCCTGAAGGATGCTGTGGCATCCTGGTCTCTATTTTACCCTTTCTTCTTCCTTTCCCCACATGAAGTAATTAATAAGCCATTTGTCCCCACTGCTCAGGCCTTTGAACCCATTTCGCAGATGAAACCATTGAGACATGGAGAGGTCAAGGTCTGAGACTGGCGAGAGCAGCTAAACCTAACACCTTATGAGTAAAAGCAGAAAGAGGAAGAGGAGATGCATATTTATTGAGCACCTACTATATGCCAGGTGCTCTCCCTATCTGACTCTCATCTTTGTTGGGAGTGGTTGGTGTCGTTGCCCTTCAAATATCAGATGTGCAGACTGAGGTTCAGAGAGGGGGACATCTTCCCAGGGATACACAGGAAGTGAATGGTGGAGTCAAAACTCACCTCTGTGTCTCACGCCCGTGTAATCGATGAGCATGCTGCCCTCCCTCGTGCCAGGCCTTCACTGGAACTGCTCTCCTTCCTGTTGGAGTCTGGCTGGTGCCTCCAAGGGGCTCGTGCCATGGCTTTGAACTCACTTACCTGTTGAAAGACTCTCTAGACTCCCACAGCTTGTGTGTTGTCAGCCATCCTCAAAGGGGCCTCATTTTTTTGTTATCTTGGTACAACTCTTATGGGTTCGTTTGGATTGCTACTATCTTTGTGGGGAAGCTGAGGCCGATAAGTGGAGGGACTGACTGAAGTTTGTGCAGCTAATTTCTGGACAGCTAACAGCCTCTGGTTTGAAGCCAGGAGGCTGCACGTGTATTATGGCAGAGAGGGGATGGGTCTGGGTGCAGATTGCCCTGATTCAAATCCCGTGACTCCGGGCAAGTGACTCTAATCCCTTGAACTTTAGTTTCCTCATCTGTACAATAGGAGGAAAATATCTACCTCGCTGGGCTGTGGGGGGATGAGGTCTGGGGAGCAGGCATGAATCTCAGTTCATAATCTTAAGTGTCTATGTTTTTCTTTCTCATGTATCTGTAGCTTAGTTACCATTTCAAATGCCCAGTTTGCTGGGTAGCAGAAACTTCCCCATTTTCCTCTGGGGTTTTAGTTCTGTCCCAGGGGCTTCAAATGTATCAAGGCATCTGAAGGAGGCTGCCCTGTCCCTATTTTGACTGGAAATGGAGAGACATCCACTTGCTGTCTGGCCCCCCCTTACTGCTGGGATACTGTGCCTCTCTCCTGTCTAAGGCTCCCTTAGATTTAGCATTTACTTCCTACTCCTTGTTGGACTCAGAATTGTTCTGCTGTTTCTCAATTCCTTGGGCCTCAGGCTGGACTGTAGTGACCCCAGCCCATCTCCCTGGACCCCCTAGACCCTCCAGTTAGCATTCTCTCCCTGGGGTCTTGCCACCTCTCGTGGCTCTGGAAGGGGACATGGGCACAGGTGCCCTCCGTTCTTGAATCCAGCACACCGACTTGGGGTTTCTGATGTCCCTCCTCTCCTGCCAAGTTTTGCCTGGGGAGTAGCAAGGGCACCAGGCACTTTTCAGAACCTACTGGAACTATGTTCTCTTCAGTGTCTCTTGGACTTGCACACTCCTCCAACCTAATATGGAGAATGTTCTAGTTTTGGGGGCAGGATATATATATATATATATATGCTATTTTATGCTCTGAGTTTTGAAATAAAGAAACACAGGTTTAAAATTCTTTAAAAAAAAAACAGGGGCGCCTGGGTGGCTTAGTCGGTTAAGCGTCTGCCTTCGGGCTCAGGCCATGATCCCAGGGTCCTGGGATCGAGCCCCACATCGGGCTCCTTGCTCTGCGGGAAGCCTGCTTCTCCCTCTCCCACTCCCCCCACTTGTGTTCCCTCTCTTGCTATATCTCTCTGTCAGATAAATAAATAAAATCTTTAAAAAAAAAACCTAAGGAAAATTGGCTCTTTCCCCTTTTGGTGTGTAGTTCTGTGACTCTTAACACATGTATAGTTTCACGTAGCTGCCATAAGAATCGGATATAGAGCAGCTCCGTAACTCCGCAGACGCCCTCGCGCTGCCCTTTGGTTGTCACACTCTCCCTGCACCCACTGGCAACCACTGATTTGCTCTCTGTCACTACCTTTCCCTCGAAGACCCAGGCTTTGGAAACTCTTTGCTTCTGCCGCAGTGGTCCTTCCTTGCAACCACAGGAGCTGCATGTCCCACTGCCCTGAGGAGGGCAAGGGGCCCGTGGGGCATCCAGAGACACGAAAGGTCACGCTGCTAATGTTTCAAGACCACCGTTTCCACCTTGATGAGGGCAGTGCCTTCCCAAAGTGTTTCTCAGAAACTGTAGGTGGTGCCCTTTGCGTCCTATATCTTGGTGGTGTGTTGGTTCTGGGTTCTGTTGCCCGAGAGCAAGATCAGGTCGGGGGGCTGCGTTGGGGGGGTAATCTTCAGGTGGCCTTGGAAACCCCAGTGGTTTTGTTGCAGGGCAGAGGCAAAAAGGGTTCACGGGGAGCTGGGTGCCCCAACTTTGATGAGAAAATAATTCTTTTTTTCTTGATTTTTTTTTTATTAGTTTCAGAGGTAGAATTTAATGATTTCATCAGTTGCATGCAACACCCAGTGCTCATTCCATCACGTCCCCCCGCCAGTGCCCATCACCCAGCCGCCCCATCCCTCCACCCCACTCCCCTCCAGCAACCCTCAGTTTGTTTCCTAGAGTTCATATGGTTGGTCTCCCTGTTTTCATCTTATTTTAGTTTTCCTTCCCTTTCCCTGTGTTCATCTGTTTTGTTTCTTACATTCCACATATGGGTGAAATCATATGGTATTTGTCTTTCTCTGACTTATTTCGCTTAGCATAGTACCCTCTAGCTCCATCTATGTCATTGCAAATGGCAAGAGAGAAAATATATTTTCTTAAGCAGAGTTTGCTTAAGTCCCATTTACCTCGGAGATGAATTTCCCACCTACATTTGCAGCTAATGATAGTAATAGTTTTTTTATGAGCCCCTAGAGCTCTATACCATCTCTATACCATGCAGAACAACCCTGTGGAGGCACTGAGGCTCAGGGAAGACAGTGACCTGCCCAGGGTCAGCCCAGCTAGGAAAAGGTGAAGTCAGACCGTCATCCTGGGCTGTCCAGCTTCAGTGCTCTTAACTTTGCGAGTAAGTTTATGTCACAGAATCTTCAGAAAGTTCCTGCTCATGTTCTCTGGAGCCTTCCCATCCCTGTGACGTCAGATTGCCCTGAGTCCCAAGCCCAGCTCTGCTGAGGCCTCGGCAAGATGCTTTTCCTTCTTGCAGCCTCAATTCCCTCGCCTACAACGTGGGGCTGATGGCACCCACCCCCGGGGCTGTGGAGAGGGCTAAGCTGGAAACAAATGTAGCTTGCAGCCCAGTGCCTGGTGCAGAATCAGAACTCCCTAAAGGAAGGGCATAGAAGTTAAAAGGCATGGACAGGTGGGGCCTGGAGCAAGCTTTTGGGCACTTGGGGCTGAATTTCTGCTTAAATCCCCCCCAGACCCCAGCTCTGGTATTATAATAGAAGCCCATTGTGCAACAAGCTCTGCTGGGAGAAAACATGATGATTCCATGGCTCTATGAACCTCAAAACAAAAATAGAATTCTGAGAAACCCAAGGAGTCCCCTTGAGGAAGGAGGCCCCTGAGTCACCCTCTGAAGGGTCAGGAGGAAGGCAGACAAAAGCTGCCTTCAGCAAGGGGCCAGGCAACCTCACTGGAAGATGGAGCCCAGCCCTCCTATGTTTGCTCTTAGAATCGTGAGCTAGAACCGCCCCCACCCCCACTCAAGGCTGTCAAGGGGAATCCTCTGTGTGAGAACATGGGCGTTTAGGGTTGCAAATCCCCAACGAAGCATTTCGGATTAGGCGGTCTGAATTGAAAGAAGGAGACAGGAAAGGCGGTCTGAATTGAAAGAAGGAGACAGGAGGCTCTCTCGCCCTATTCTCATCTCTGAGCTGTTGACACTTCCTTGTTTGCACTTGTCAATCCAGCCGATGGCCTCTGTCATCGGTTTCCCCTCAGTGTGTATGCGCGTGTGTTGGGGGGGCGGGGGGGTTAGGAGGAAGGGAGGGAGGACCAGAGGGCGGATCCACAGGGGCCAAGCCTGGGCTCTGGAGTTTGGCTGCCTGAGCGCAGTTGGCTTGATCATTTCCTTGCTGTGTGATGTTGGGCTAGGGGCTTTCTCTCTCTGAGCCTCGGGGTCCTCCTCCATGGATTTGCTATGAGGATTTGATGAGACGCTGAACAGAAGCTCTGAGCACCAAGCTTGGTACATGCCCGTGCTTATTATGTGTGTGCTACTACGACTAATATGTATGTGTTATTTCCCCTTGATTTCTCAGCATGCTTTGCCTCCTTTTGGGAATAGGGTGGGAATCAATATTTAAGAACTGAATAGTCATTAATCAGATAATTAACAATGATTTAAATGACTTTTCATAAGCATTTCCCATGGACCTGGTGCATGCTAAACATATTGCAAATGTTTTTTCATATACTCCTACAAACATCCTGCATGGTCAATACTTTTTTTTAAAAGATTTTATCTATTTATTTGTCAGAGAGAGAGAGCTAGAGCACAAGCAGGGGGAGTGGCAGGCAGAGGGAGAAGCAGGCTCCCCGCCGAGCAGAGAACCAGATGCGGGACTCGATCCCAGAACCCTGGGATCATGACCTGAGCCAAAGGCAGACGCTTAACGACTGAGCCACCCAGGCATCCTGTGGTAAATATTTTTTATTTAAAAAATGTGTATTAAAGTCTAACATATGTAAGAAAAATGCACATAGTGAACAGCTTAGTGAATTTTCACAAATTAAACACCCTCCCCACACCCAGCATCCAGATCAAGAAACAGACGTCTGCCTGGAGCCCCTCCTGGTCGCTAACGCTCTCCTCAGGGCTACGCACGGGCTTCACGTCGGATAGCACGGGTTCCTTTGCTGTTTTGGAGCTTCATATAAATGGGAGATGCAGCGTGTGCTCTTCCGTGCCTGGCTTTGTTATGTGCCTGAGATGCACCCACGTGGTCATGTGCTGTCATAGGTCATTTTCATGACCGCACAGCATTCCCCTGGGTGACTGTCCCACGGTATTTACCCACTCTTTTTTTTTTAAGATTTTATTTATTTATTTGACAGAGAGAGACACAGTGAGAGAGGGAACACAAGCAGGGGGAGTGGGAGAGGGAGAAGCAGGCCTCCCGCGCAGCAGGGAGTCCTATGTGGGGCTCGAACCCAGGACCCTGGGACCATGACCTGAGCCGAAGGCAGATGCTCAACGACTGAGCCACCCAGGCGCCCCTTACCCACTCTTTTGATGGGCATTCAGGGTTTTTACTCGGACTATTAGGACCACTGCTGCTATGAGCAGTCTTGTCCCATGTCCCCCAGTGTCTACGGGCGCATGCTTCTGTGGGGCGCCTGCCGGGGAGTGGCACTGCTAGGGCACAGGCCAGGCCTATGTGGCGCTTTTGTAGATGCCGCCACCCGGACTTGTAAAGTGGTGGTGCACCTTACCTCCCACCAGCGGTGTTAAGCCTCCTGTTGCTCCACATCCTGGAAGACCTCTATCCCCACTTTGCAGGTGATGGAGACCTGAAGGTAAAGTGCCTTGTCCCCAACACAGCCAGTGAGTCCTCAAACCAAATTCATCTACTACTTAACAACAGGCATTTGCTGAGCTCACACTCTGTGCCAGCCCCATGGGGGCCCGTGGGGGCCAGGGGGTCAGCAGCCACTCTGAGGCACATGGTTCATACCCGCATGTGACTTCTCATTGGGCTGAATCGAATTTGAACTCAGATCTCTTCAGTGCGAACATTTATGCTTTTTGACTCTGTCATCCTTTCCCTGCACTCCTTTGGAGCCTGGCAAAGCACTTGGCACATAGTAGGTACTCAACAAATATGGGCCGAATGAATGAGGGAATGGGAAATCTCGACAGGGCCTTCCCCGCATTGATGAGCAAATCTCGAGATGGGCTTCTGGCTGCAAATTACAGGAAAACACAGTGTTTTTTCTGGTATTTCTAGGCTGATGAGCAAACCCAGGCATATTTAGTCTTAGCATGGACCTTCATCAAGTCTGACCTCTGGAACCCTAACCTCAGGGCCCAGGAAGAGGGTCCTCTGTACCCTTCAGAGTTAGAGTTTATTATGGGACAGGAAGGACTCCACAGGGCCTGTGGTAAGGGTTTTTGGGGGCAGTGGAAACCCCACTCTGAGGAAGACTTAAGGTCCCAAGGTGTGAAATCTCCTTCTGGATCAGTAGGTAGCCGGAGGATGCTCAAGCCTGGTACGCGGAGGGTCGGCTGGACTCATGGTTGTGTTCATGAGCAGAAGCCTGTTCTGTAAGGAGGAGAGGCAGGATCAGTCACCAGTGTGACGGTCCGTCCAGCCCCTGCAGGGGACTCTCATCCATCCATGCCAACCAGGGGCCAGTGCCTGAGGCACTTGCATTAAAATTCTTTCCAAATGATAAGTAGTTATACGCTTCTTCCTTTTACTAGACTGTGAGCTCCGTGAAGGTGGGGACTGTATCTATCTGCAAATGGTGGGTGGTCTCAGGTTTGGATTGGAGGCAGTGCTCCCTAAAGGACTGAGTGGTAATCTGGTAATCTGGAGGTTTGGGTGACTTGGCGGGGCACAGCCTGCTTGGTAGGGGTGCCCTCTGCTGTCCCAGCTCTCTCGGGGGACAGGAATGGTCGTCATCATATGGTCCCCTCTAAGTGTTCTCAGAGCACATGCAGACGCCCCTCAGTAGGCCTCACTGGGGGTTCCACTGGGGCGCCACTTTCATTGGCCAGTCCTGAGTCCTCCTCCCTGGCTGGATGCAGACACTCACCCATGAGGCTCTTCAGCAGTTTCACGTCCAGCTGTCTGAGGATTTCACCGATCAGAGGACACACCTGGGCCGGTGAGCACAGAGAGAAGGGTCAGGCCAGGGACTAGGAAGAGAAAACTAGATTTCCACAGGGAACCATAGCAAGAGCGGCTCCCTTGTACTGAGCGCCAACAGGATGCCATGCACAGCACTTTTTTGTCTGCCGGAATCCTCATGATGACTCTGTGAGATAGGGGTTGTGGTGATCCCCATGCTACAGATGGGGACACTGAGGCACAGGGAGGCTGAGTCACTTGCCAAGGACACACAGCCAGTAGATGACAAAACTGAAATTTTTAATGGAAATTTTTCAGGTCCTGAAGCCCAAGATTGGAAACTCTTTTCTGAATTGCCAGTATATACGTCCTGACCCTCAGACTCAAAGATACCCTGGGGGACAATATTTTTCTCAAACTTACCTGACTTTCCACTAGGTGTGGGATAACTTTTGCCAGGTTCCCCCTGAAGTTGCGGAGAAAATGTTTCATCTTTGGTGAGATATCTCTAGAAAGAGAAGTAGATGTACAGAACAGATGAATCCATGCAGTACCAATGCCAGATGCATTGAGTACACCTTACACAGTCATTTAATCCTCAGCCAGCCCTATATAAAAGGCACTGCCGTCAGCAGTGGTCGGAGGGGCAACTTCAGAGAGGTGATGTGACTTGCCTAAGGTCACACAGCCAGTAAGTGCTGAATAGATTAGAACCAGGTCATTAGAGTTCCAGAGTTCAGTCCTTCCCTTGCACTGTCCTAGCCATGAATGCCTGGCATGATTTAGGCATTTAGTGAACATCTGATGAATAAATGAATGGATACCCACTGAAGACCTAGCTGCTTTCAGCATTCTGGAATTACAGGGAGAAATCACACCCAAATCTTACCCTCAAGAGACTCATAGTCTGCTGACTTGATAGATATGGTCAGCCAGTATATAAATCTATTATCCTCTATTAATAAATGCACCTTATAAATAGCTCTATTTTTTTTTTTCTGTCTTGTTCACGACTGTATCCCTAGCATCAAGCATGCCATGTCTGGCTCATAGTACATTCTCAAACATTATTTGTTGAATGAATGAGTGATGAGGAGGAGTTCTAGAGAAGAAGGGAAGGGCATTCCAGGCAAAAGGATCAGCATGTTCAAAGGCACGGTGGCATGAAAATACATGGTGTGTTGATGGAGGGGTAGGTCCTTCAGTGGCACAAGAGGGCGAAGAACTACAGAGTGGGGCAAGTGGGAGGACAAGTGGGGTCCTGACTGACATCCAGGAGTTTGCTCTTCATTCAGAGGGTTTTGGAGAACCATTGGAGGGTTTGGAGCAGGAGCTAGGGAACATGACCACATTTCTGCGCTAGAAAGTTAATTCTGCTGCAGGGGGGAGAATGGAGTGAAGGAGGTGAGGTCTGAGTCTGAGAAAGCCAGCTTGGCTCCTGCAGTGGTCCAGGAAGAGGTCTAGGAGCCAGGGTAGTAGCTGTGGGGCTGGAGAAAGAGGAGTCAAGCAGGGGCTGCCAGTAGGTCATTGATGGGAACCAGTGAAGGTGGGCTGCAAGGCGTGGGGAAGAGGAAGAGCCACACACAAGGCTTGTGGCTCCTGGGAGGGTGGCTGGGCTATCACTGGGATGCCGACTCAGGAAGAGAAGTAGATCATGGGGAAAGGGTGAGATCTGTGTTGGGCTCATCCAGGAAGTGGTGGAGATGTGTGGCCACAGCTGAGGCTAGGCAGGAAGGGGCTCAGCCCAGGGGAGGGCTGCTGGGACCTTACTCGGTTAGGACTGTTGTGTAGATGCTGCTTGGCTCCACAGAGCAATTGCCTATCACCAGATGCCTCCGGCCAAACTCGTCTTTCTCCAGCCAGAACTCCACAGCGAGGTTCATGCATGCATGTGTCTTTATGATCTTGTTATTGAAAGGCCTGGGGATGAGAGAGAGAGAGGAGGAGGAGGGAAAGGGCAGGAGACAGAGAAGGAGGTGGAAACAGCCAACACAAAGGGAAGCGTGACTCTTTCAACAAACCAGCCCTGCCTGTGGACTCCTGAGGCCAGCCGGTGACCAAGGAGAAAATGCTATTAGGCAGAGTGACTTCTGGAAATCCTTTAGATAGACCAGCTTAGGGGCCTTTCAGTATTCAGAAGTGGAGAGTTCATCTTATTTAAAAAATCTGTACCGTTTAGCTGTGGTCTCCCTTTTCTTGGGGGCAGCTGATGATAAAGGATAGTCTGAACAGATGGAGGGAAGGTGATGATATAATTAAAGTGTTTCTGTCTCTCTTTTTTAAATCAGTGTAATGAACTCACATAGGTTTAAATGAGCAAATGACCGGGGATTGCCACCCACATTTCAGCTGAAGAAACTGGGACTCAGAGATGTGAAGTGACCTGCCCGAGGTCACACAGCAAGTGAGTTCAGAAACCAGGGTTTGAACCAGGTTGGAGTCAGACAGATCTAGGTTCCCCAGGTTGCCAAACTCCACCCTTCCCCCAACTCCCAGATTCCCACTGAGGAGGAACAGCACCCCACCGACCCTGCTGCTCTATGACTTACAGTCTCAAGTCAATGTCAAATTCAAGTAAGATGTTTGCTGAGAACCACTCCTTATGGAAAGACATCCGGATCCCACCGTAGTCTAACTGAATGTTGGTGATGTTGGCGCTACAGAAGGAAAGAGCAGAGGCCATTCAAGTGTGAGGGAGCTCAGATGTCAAGGCCTCAGGCTGACAAAAAAGACTGGCATGCTGTTTACGGAAAGGGCTTGGCCTTAGGTTTGGAGTCAGGTCCTTTTAAAGATGCTCAGAGGGTAAGAGCCACCTGCAGGAGCCCGGGGCTGTAAGTTGTCCCAGAGGGCCCTTCACAGCTCCACACAATGAACGTGTTCAGCCCGTAGCCAGCTGCAGACCCGGACTGGGGCTGTTCTCAGACCTGGCCACTGCCTCCTAGCACAGGGCCCCACAACCTGCCCAGGGGCCCAGGCCCAAGCCCCGGGAGTCTTCTTGGCCTTCTCTCCATCCCTCACCTTCACATTCAACCCATCAGTGAACCATGCTGGCTCTGCTTACAAAATATACCTGGAATTTGGCAACTTCCGACTCCTTCTGTCCCTTTCACCTGGACTAGGTCACTTTCACTTCTTGCCTGGAGATGCTCTAGTTTCTCTCTGGGCTCCTTGCCATGAACTTGGCCTCTCTACAAACTATTCTCCATGCGGCAGCCAATAGGCAGCCCTATTACTTAACATTCTCCCTGGGTTTCTCACTGCTCCTGGGATAAAAGCTGAACTCCATACCACGGCCCCTAAGACCTGCAGGGTCTGGCCTCACCTGCCTCCACAGCCACACCCTTGCTCACCCAGCCACAGAGGACTTTTTCTCTTTCTCAGACGCACCAGTCTCTTTCCTACCTCAGGGCCTTTGCACTTACTGCCCTTCTATGTCCCTCACGTGGTTTGCTTCCTTCTCTTCATTCTTCCTAGGGATTCTCTCTTTAGAAAGGTCTTCCTGATCAGCCCCTCACTCTTACCCCTTACCTTGCTAAAGTTGTCTTTATAACATTATCCCTCTACGTGAAATTAGTGATTTACTTTTGTGACTTAACGCACTAACTTGGATGTAAGATCCAAAAAGGCAGTGACCATATGTCCCATTCATAGCTGTATTCCAAGTACCCAGCCCAGATCCTGGTACACAGCAGGTGCGCAACAAATACTTGTAACAACTATTAAGGGAATGGAAGGAGGGAGGTGATTGTGGCTGCACACATCCAGGGAAACCCTGCTGGCAAGTACCAGTGCTCATTAGAATGGCGAGAGCTAGGGGCGGAATGAGTGAGAAGGGAGCTCAAGGGCGCGGCAGGCTGGAGCTGGGGTGCTGCCCTGGAGCAGCGGGGAGCCTGGGAGCTGAGGAGGCCCGGCCCTGCAGAGGAAGGAGTGGGACTGTAGGCGAGCAGCCGGGGCCAGCTCTGCTGGGTTAATCGGAGCACCCAATGCCTATGCATCTACTGTGTGCGACAGAGAAAGCTCCCAAGTCCCTGAGGCAGGGACAATTATTCCGCCCATTTCACTGATGAGGGCTTAAGGCTGAAGCTCAGAGACCTCAAACACCTTACCCAGAGTCACACAGCTATCAGGCAAGAGAGTGGGGTTCAAATGTCCGACGCTAGTCCTGGGTTCCTTTGGCACCCCAGACGTTTATCCAGGCTGTACTCTGGGCACCCATGTTATAGAGAGGGCTGGAGTGCTCCACCAAGGTTGGTGGCAGAACCGGGACTTAAATGCAGAAGCTTTATTCCTGGCTTTGCTTTAATTACCCTGTTATGCTGCCTCCCCAAATGACCCCTCATATTGGGCCCTCACTCATTCTTATATTGGGCCTTTTATCCTCTCCTTCCAATCTTCCTGCTTTCTCTCTTCACAGCCTCCATGCCCTGAGCTCTGCCCTCTGACCCAGAGCTTTCCAGAGAGTCCCAGGGCCAGCGATGGGGTTCAGGGGCTCACCTGCTTTCTTGCTGATGCTGGAGGCTCATGCTGCTTATTAGCCAGCCCACCATCCCTGGGGCCGTCTGCCCTGAGGCATTCAGACTGTCCATGAGGCGGAGGTTCTGGATTCGGCCCTCTGCGTTGTGCTTCATGAGGCCCTGGGCAATAACTGGAAATGGACAAGGGACCAATGACATTGCACAATGTCGTAGACAAGGTAGGGGGTTTGGAGTCAAGAGGCCTAGGTTGTGTGTGGGCTGGTGCATTTGCTTCTTGCTGAGTGATGGGTGCTTGTCACCCCCCAACTCCACTCTCTACATGGGAATCCACATGCCTTATCTGGGAAATGGCGCTTTGCAGGGCTGAGGCAACACCCCTGCAGAGGGTCTGGCAGGCAAGAGCTGCTCAAACGAGATATAATAGTGGAAAGCCCACCCGGTGCAGTTTCTGAGTCTGGACCACAGAGCCTAACGTACAGCATGTATGTCCCAGTGAATATTGCTTGAAGAGAACAACTATGAAGAGAATGAATATAATTTTTCCCACACTGTGCCCAGAATAAGCTGTAGGACTAAGCGGAACTACCAGCAGAAAAGAATGAATTCCAAAAAGGAAAGGGATTTTCAAGTGCTGGGCATGCTGAAATCCTGCCTCTCTTGGCGCTAGGATTGGGCCCAGCTCTGATGAACGTCCGAGCATACCACAGGACACATTTATTTCCCTGACTTGACCCTCCCTGTGATCAGAACCTACACTGCAGAGCAGCAGAAACCATGGTTCCTCCTCACTCCCCTCCCTCCAGCTCCCAGACCCCCTTTCATTATCCCATGTTTCTGTTGCCTGCCAATAAGAAAGTGTGTCTAGAGTCCTAGATCTGGGTTGAAATGCTACCACCTTTCTGGGTCTTGATTTCCTCATCTGTATAATGGGGACAATAATAATGCCCATCTCACAGGATTCTTGCGAGGAATATTGAGATAAGTTATCCAAAGATATTTGGATAAATATCATTTATCCATAAAAGAATGTTATTGAGCATCTATTGGGTATCAGGCCTTGTGGCCAAAGACACAAACCAATTTTCTGTCTAGTAAGAGAGACATACATTGACCAAATAGTTTCAAAGATAGAGTGATCCTATAGGTATGCCTAGAACTCTTAGTAGTTCTTGGTTAATGATAACAACACTTGGATAATTGTGAGCAGTACACACTAGTAGTTGCCAGTCCAATATCCATTTATCCACCTACCCATCCCTCCATCCATCCATCCATCTACCCATCCACCTACTGATCCATCCATCTATCCTCTGTCCAATATCCACCCATCTGTCTATCCATCCATCCACCCTCCCATCCATCTTCCATCTGTCCAAATATCCACCTGCCTATTCATCTGTCTATCCATCCTCCCCTTCATCCACCCTGTCATTCCCATCTGAACCCTGTCTTGATTCAGGCACTCTCTCCAATTCCTGGTCCAGATGAGGCCTTTGATTATCTGAGCCATCATTGCCCAGTGACTCTTTCAGGTTTAAAGTGGGCATGTGACCCAAGTTGGCCTTATCAGACTAAACGGAAGATCTTATGTTTCATGTTTGAGGGGAAGTTTCTTTATTTGTCTCCTCCTGGGAGGGAGCAAGCCAGTTTGTCGCTCTGTTGGTCACTGGCCACCATTTTCCTACCACACTGGGAACTAGCAGCCTGAGGATGAAACTGTGATGAGAGCAGAGCTAAAAAAAGATAAAATCCAGCTCTGGATGGCACCTTTGAGTTGCTGACTGACTCAGACCTGGAGTTTGTCCTGCCTATGAGTTTTGGTTATATGAAATAACGTTTTTTTTTTCATCATTTAGGCCATATTGAGTTGGGTTTTCTGTTCTGTGCAGCTAAGTGCCCTAACTGATATGAGAGGTGGTTATAGTGATAAATATATTCACAGTTGAAAAAGCACTTGGCACATGCTTCTTGTCATTTAAATCTCCAGGGCAGCCCCATGAAATAGCATTCCAACTACACCCATTATAACCATGAGGATGCATGGGCTCCCAAATACACATGAATGTGTTTCATAACCTAAATGGAATGGATAACTTTGTGGCAAACCATAAAATACCAAGTTGTGATGAGGGAAGTGGGAAACATTGATAATCTAAAAGATTTAAGAAATAGTAATTGAAGATTTCATTCCCCAAAAGTTTTTGATCTGTATGGTTTTGGGGAAGAGTTTGACCAAACTTTATATAAAGAGATAATTGTGAAAGAAAATAAAAAAGAAGAAGATGCCAAATTCATTTTATGAGCTAGTGTAACTTGCCAAGCTTCCAGAACAGTACAGGGAGGAAAGGTCCACGTCAATTTCATGTATGAAAAATCTGCTAAAGTCCTATAAAATTATTACCTAACAAACTGACTAGCCAGCCAATAGCACATTATAAAAATACATTACATTATAAAATATATTTTAATATGATACATTATAAATACATTCTAATACATTATAAAAATAGTACAGTATGGATATATCATCTAGTAAGTCACAAAAATATCATATTTATTCCAGAAATGCTGGGATGGGTTCAACAGACAAAAATCTACTAATACAATTTATCACATTAATGGTTTAGAGGAAAAAATGGAGTAATTTTTAGATGCAGAAAAACATTTGTTAAAAGCCAATACTAATTTATGATTAAGAAAAATTCAGAAAACCAGGACTACGGGGATTTCTTTAATATGATAAAAAAGATTTCAAAAATCTGAAAAACCTGAAAGATACACTAAGTTTCTAATGGGTGACCTCACATTGCAAAAATGTCAGTTCTCTCTAAATTAACAAATTCAGTGAAACCCAAATCAAATTTCCAGGTAATTTTTTTCTTTAAAGAACTCAGCACACTTTAAACAAAATTCAAGAAGATAAATCAGATAAAATCGCATTTTACAAAGATGTAGTATTTAAAATACTCTGCTGGTGGTGTAGAAATAGTTACACAGACACAGAATGCAGAGCCCCAAAGGGAATCCATGTGCTTGGGAACTTGATCTTTCAGAGATGGGTTGAGAAAACAGACTCCTTACACAGATGGAAGGTGAGGCTGGGGCCGTGACTTACATGCATAAGCAACATAAAGGTGGCCTCCAGATGGGTTAAGATCCTGAACGTGAAGGGTAAAACAATATAGCTATTAGGGAAAACAAAGTAGAAGATGCCTGGGGTAGAGACAAGGGTTTAAGACTCATCACACACAAACCATAGGATGAAATTTTGATGAGTTTGAAAATCTTCCTGTTTGGTGAAGGACCTACAAACAAAGTTGACGACAGTTTGGGAGAAATGTTAGCACTGGTTAAACCTGATGAAGGACCAGCATCAAGAATAAATTAACACTAGGGGCGCGTGGGTGGCTCAGTTGGTTAAGCAACTACCTTCGGCTCGGGTCATGATCCCAGGGTCCTGGGGTGGAGCCCCGCATGGGGCTCCCTGCTCAGCAGAGAGCCTGCTTCTCCCTCTCCCTCTGCCAGCCGTTCCCCCTGCTTGTGCTCGCTCTCTGTCAAGTAAATAAATAAAAGATCTTAAAAAAAAAAAAGAAGAAATGAACACTCAAATCAGAGAGGATAAAAAAATCCCCGGGAGGCAAAGAGAAACATGGACAAGAGGTAAGGACGGGGAGTCCTTCTAAGAAAAGAGAGACATAGCAGAGTGCACTCTCTGTGCACACACAGAAGGAAGGCCCATGTGAGGACACAGGGAGAGAGCAGAGAGACCCACAAGCCAGAAGGAAGAGAGGAGGGGTTTCGTCAGAAACCGACCCCGTGGGCGTCTTGATTTTGAGCTGCCAGCCTCCAGAACTGTGAGAAAAGAAATGTCTGTTGTTTGAGCCCCCCAGCCTGTGGTATCTTGCTGTGGCCACTGGAGTAGACTGAGGCAGACGGGTCCTGTCCAGTGTTGGGAAACAGGTGTGGGGAGACAGCTGTGCTCGTTTGTCGCTGGGGCGGGTAGAGACCAGCACAGCCCTTCTAGAGAGCAATCTGGCAGTCGTTAGTTAAATTGAATCTGTACCCACCCTAAGGCCCAGCGACCCGTTCACTTCTGGGTCTATCCGAGACATTCTTCCCTGGCTCCTCACAGGGCCACATGCAAGGATGTTCATCTCAGGGTAGCTTCTAATAGTGGGGAGTTAGAGACGACACAGGTGCCTGTCCTTAGGAAAATGGCCAAGCAGTGGTGAGTCCAATCTCATGGACTTCTCAGTACTAGCCTGAAGCAGCCGATGTCAACAGCACAGTGTCCAATGAAAACAGTAAAAACCAACAAGATCCATATGGCAGTATCATCTGTGCAAATCAAAACACTGTATATTGTATCAGGACATGAGCATATATAAACACATGCGTTAAACACACCGCAGGGCCTGCTGAGGAAGGGGGGTGGGAGTGAGAATAAGCGGTAAAGGGGAAAACAACAAAAAAACACAAGAGGGCCTTGCCATGATTCACTGTAATGATGACGTGCTGTGAACTGGCATATGATCAATTCAACCTCAGTTTTCAGTACTTGAGGTCTAAGAGAAAAAGGAAGAGAGAGAGTGACTGACCCGAGGTCACCCAGCAGGATGATGCCTTCCCCACCCACCCTGTGACCGTGGGCAGAGCACGGGCTGAGCTTACTTCTCGCCAGAGCTGGTTTGCTGTCCATGTGGGTCTTGGTCAGGCCACGCCAGGGCTGCTTGTGCAGTGCTGAGGGCACGGACAGCAAGCTGAGGAGGACCAGGAGCCTCCAGATTGGACACATCTTGGGTTCTGGGACCTGCGGGTGTCAAGAAGGGTCAGATGGTACCCAGGAGGGTGGTTACAGGGTTGGCTGCCTGAATGAGTGGACTCATAGTTTTCTGTCGGAGGACGACACCAGGGTCAGCCCTGAGCATGCCGTGGGCGGGGGGGTGTCGTGATGGGCTCTGGCAGCTGCTGCTGGGCTTTGCTCACATGGTGAGGGCAGCAGGTGGAACCCTGGGGGGAGGGCCAGGGACCCAGAGGGAGGCCGTGTTGCTTGGAGACGCCCAGTAGAGCCCACTGTTGGGTCATCCAGCAGCAGTCCTCTCCTTGACCCCGCACAGGCTGGGTGGTGGGGATCCTTGGGGATCCTACAGTAAATGAATGAGGATGGCTAATTTCAGGCTTTCCAATTGGACTAGGACTTTCTTTTTTTTTTTTTTTTAAGATTTTATTTATTTATTTGACAGAGAGAGACACACAGAGAGAGGGAACACAAGCAGGGGGAGTGGAAGAGGGAGAAGCAGGCTTCCCGCGGAGCAGGGAGCCCGATGTGGGGCTCGATCCCAGGACCCTGGGACCATGGCCTGAGCTGAAGGCAGACGCTTAACGACTGAGCCACCCAGGCACCCCTAGGACTTTCTTAAGGGCAAGATCATTCGCAGTGCCTACTGTGATGCTTGCTTGCCAGAAATTAGTGTTAATGAAAGTTTGTTGAGTGACTAAATGACTGAATACATGAATGAGTGAGAATAGTTGATCTCTGAACCACCTACCAAATTATATAAGTTTCTGTAGGGCAGGGTGTGAGTCAAATTAATCCTCAAGTGTCCAGTGCCTCCCATGTTTACTGCACTGTAGTTAGCAATAAATGTTTGTTAAATGATATGAACGAACGAATGAATGAATGAATGAACAGTTGGATGGATGGTTTATGGATAAGATTTACAGGAGGTAGACAGAGAGCCTTGAAGCCAAAGCATTAGGTTTACTTCATTGCTCTGGAGTTGGAGGTCAGAGAAACTTCGGTTCAAATCCCCCTGTCCTCACCATCTCAAGAAATGGTGCCACAGTCCATCCAGTTGCTCTGGCCTCAGCCCTTGGCGTTCCTCTGGACTCTTCTTCCCTCATTGCCCACAGCCCATCTGTCAGAAAATCCTGCCAACACTTCCAGAATCTGACCACGTCCAGCAGCTCCTTCTCAGCCACCCTCACATTGGCCTGGATTACTCTGGGGTGTCCCTACCTGATTTTGTGGCTTTCTCCCTTGCCCGCCTACCGTCTCTTTTGTACACAACAGCCTGTACAGTCATTTTTTTAAAAAGATTTATCTATTTTTATTTGAGGTGGGTGGAGGGGCAGAGGGAGAGGAAAGGAAGAGAATCTCAAGCCCACACCCTGCTGAGCGCAGAGCCCAGTGGAGGGCTCGATCTCACAATCCTGAGATCATGACCTGAGCCAAAACCAAGAATCAGACGCTTAACCAGCTGAGCCACCGCAGTGCCCCCTGCAAGATCACTTTAAGATGTTAATCAGACCAGGGCCCTCCTCCGCTCCAAATTCTCTAAAGTTTCCCACTGCAGCCGCACAGGCCTCGGGGGGTCTGGGCCCCACAGTTCAGCCGTTCAGCTGCTGGGAGCTCTGAGACAAAAGGCACTCTTCACTCCCTGTGCTCTCCTCTCTGGCGGTAGGGAATGTGCAGGGTCCTTTGCAGAGCTCACAAAGCCCTGGGGCCATCCTTGGGCACCTCGCATCCAGTTTTGTAAGAGATCATAAGGAAAGCATTAATTCAGGGTGATGGCTTTCCGGAATTGACGTCCTTGAAGGGTTCACACTCCCCTTGGGGATGTTTGTAGAATATCAATTACCTCGAAATGTACTTTTCCAGTCTTCCTGGTCTTGTGTAACCAGTTGGGATTTTGTTATTTTTTGTCCAGAAAATTGGAGAAGAGTGGCCACTGTTGGGAGGAACAAACCTGTTGTCCCTGGCTCTTTGGAGGTCTGAACTGGGGAGTGGGGAGGGCCGTTAGTCCTGCCTCATCACAGGCTGTGGCTCTCAGGGCCACCGAGTCTACAGAGATGACGGGGTGGAGAGTGTAGACTTTTCCAAGCCTGGTGCAGGACAGGGGAGCAGGAAGGCACTGCTCAGGGGTGAGCTCTACAGTTCCTTGTCCTTGTGGTGCCCCTGCCCCTGTGGGGAGACTGCCAGTCTTCAACCATCCCTGCTGTGAGCACGGGATGGTGACGTGTGGTTGTGAAGGGGAGGCGGGAGGTGCTCTGTGAGGGCCCAGTGAGGGGAGACCTGAGCAGTGGGGAGAGGGTTATCAGAGAAATGACCTCCCCGAGGAGACGGAATTTGAGTGGACATTGAAGGGAAAGGTTAGCTGGTGTGGTGTCTCCATCCCCTCCAGCGCCCCCCACCCTGCCCCAATCCCCAGCAGCTACCTCCGAGGATGGTGGTGCTGACATTTATTTGGTGGGCCTCGTACACTGTGCTAAGCCTGCCCCACGGGTGATCTCATTCCACCCTCATAACACATGTGGGGGGGGCGGGAACCCAAAGGAAGCCAGCGGCCTGCGGAGCTCCCAGCCGGGATGAGGATGAGCTGCCACCCCAGCAGGCTCTCTGGCCCTCCCCTGAGTTGTGAGATGTTGTTTCCTTTGGAAGGTGGAGCTGCTGGATGCCCCAAAGCTCGTCTATTAGCCATGATCTTTACTATTTCAAAGAACTTTCTTTAGAACAAACTTCTTTACCTTTTTGGGGGGCATTTTGAAAAGTGATGAAAACTTTGGTTTGTTCAGAAAAACAAAATGTACCTATTTAAAAAATGTTGCTCATAGTAGCAGGATTTCCGTCATACTCCTAAGGTGTGCCCATCAACACCAGTTAAAACCTCTGCTCTCCTGGGTAATTGACTTTCAAGGAGTTTGACTTGGATAAAATTGTATTTATCCAGTCAACCATTACTTCCTGTGGGCCTACGATGTGCCAGGCCCTGTGCTTGGCTCTAGGCAATAACAGACACCCTGCTTCTCCAGCAACTTTTAGTCTGGCGAGAGAATCAGAACCAGACAAAATAAACAATACATGGAATAACTACAAATCGTATCAAAGGGAAGAAGTTGGGTGAGATTGAGAATAGGAGGGAGTCCACTTTGGGTGATGAGTAGGGAAGGTCTCTCAAGAAGGTGACATTTGAGCTGAGTCCAGGAGGAGATGGAGCCTACACTGAATGTAGATGGGGGAGGGTGTGTCTAGCAGACAGAACGGCAGGGGCAAAGGTCCTGGGGTGGGAAAAGTCTCAGCAGATTGGAGGAACAAAGGAAGATGGGTGTGGCTGCATCTACTGGGTCAGAAGTTGGTGCCCATGTGCCCAGGCTCCCACCCATGCCTCCAGGGAGGGGGTGTCCGGTGTGACAAGGAGGCAGGAGTTTCCCCTGGTTCACAAGGGCCAAGCAGGCTTTTGTACATGAGCACCCTCCTATAGCCGGGCGGAGGTGCCCCACCCTCCACCAACCCTACAAATCCCCACCCCCCTGCAGCTCCTTGGGCTCTAAGGCAGTTCCAGGTCCCCAGCCAAAGGCAGAGGCCCTGAAACTCCAGGGGGCAGCAGAATGGGTAGAAACAGAGTGGTGGAAGATTCCTGCACCTGATTCAGTAGCGGGGGGAGGCTGCTTTAGTTCACTGAGAATCACTCTTCTATGGAATGGAATTCATCATTCACGCAGGCATTCATTTATTCCATTTTCTTTTAGAAATATATGTTTTTAACAATCATAGAAGTCTAAAGACTGGAACTTTAACCCAAAGACAAACTTCCTTGAAAAGGGGGTGAGGGGTAGGAGGGGAGTGGGGTGCCTTCTGAATGGAATATCGGGCTTGACAAACGATGATGAGGTTCTGGGTTCTGGTGTGGCCTGAAGCAGGGAAGGGAAAGTGGAAAAGCTGGAGTTTCTGGGTACCTTGCAGTGCTTTTGGGAGGACAAGTGGGACTTGTAGAAATGCAGAGTCCTGGGCCACCCCTGAGCAACTGAGTCTGTCTCTGGAGGTGGGGACTGGGACTAAGCTTCCGGGTGAGTCTGCTGCACATGGTGCACGAGAACCATGTAACTGAAGTAGGAAGATGGTGCCAGACAATATTTGTTGAGAGCTGACTGTGCTCAGAGGGCAGTCTAAATGCTTTACTTGTAATTGCTTCTTTAATCTTCCACACGGCCCTGTGAGGGAGGTACTGTCATGATTGGCCTCCCTTTGCAGAGGCACAGAGAAGTTGAACACAATCCCTGAAGTCACCAGCTGGGGACAGGTGGGGCTGGGGCAGGAGCAAGGCAGCCAGACCCACAGAGGGGAGATCAGAGGAGCGGTCGCTCATTCCCCATCTACCTCCTCCTCCCACAGCCCACTCCGCTCCCCCACACGATCCCACGGCCCCCACAGGCATTGCAAGGAGAGGCAGGAAGAGCAACAGTGGGCTCGTATTGAGTCCCAACTCTGTGCCAGGCTCTGCTCTAAGCGTTCATTGTAGATTAATTTCCTTAATCCAATAGCCCTGGGGTGCCTGGGTGGCTCAGTTGGTTAAGTGACTGCCTTCGGCTCAGGTCATGATCCTGGAGTCCCGGGATCGAGTCCCACATCGGGCTCCCTGCTCAGCAGGGAGTCTGCTTCTCCCTCTGACCCTCTTCCCTCTCGTGCTCTCTATCTCTCAAATAAATGAATAAAATCTTAAAAAAAAAATCCAATAGCCCTGGAGGGTTGTGTTGTTATTACTGAACTTCACAGATGCAAAGCCTGAGACACACAGATGAGATGGAGTCACTTGCCCAAGGACACACAGCTGGTAAGCCTGGAGCCAGGATTCAAACCCAGGCTGTCTGGCTCTGTAGGCAGTATCTCATCTCTAGATAAATTCACCCACAGCCCTTGCCCTTCATCCTGGGCTCTGTGAGCCTGTGTTGTCCAGTGGCATTTCCTCTCATATTCCAGAGAGGCCACTAAAGATTCCAGGGGACATGCATGGCAACTATCACAAGATTTTCAAAGAGCTGGAGTTGATCCACCAGGGGGAGTGAAGACTGCAGGTCTCACCATAACCATGAACTCTCTGAACCACTAGGGGGCAGGAACTGGCTGCATCAAGCCCAGGGTCCTACCTAGGGACCTGAGATGTTCTCAGGAGAAAATGAGGGAGGCAGGCCATTCACAATGACCAGCTATT